TTGTTGAGAGAGAGGTTAGCAAGAGAAGACCAAAGGGGGGGCCCCAACAAACGCTTTTTCGTTCGCAGCGGCGAGGGGCTTCCCCCCAGTGGGTTTTTTTGTTTTTTTTGGAGACGGAAGCTCGCTCGTGTCCGCCAAAGTCAGGAAGTGCAGTGGCCAGAGCTCACGCTCACTGCAAGAGCCCGCGGCCCGCGACGTTTACGCCTTCTCGGGCCTCAGCTTCCGAGTAAAGCTGGGGGACTACAGCGCCGCACTCGGGCCCGGCTAGTTTTTTGTATTTTTTAGTAGAGACGGGGTTTCACCGTGTTACGCCCAGGGATTGTCTTGATCTCCTGAGCCTCGTGATTCGCCCGTCTCGGGCCTCCCAAAAGAGTTGCTGGGGATTTACAGGCTTGGAGCGCCCCGCGGCCCGCCGGGTTGCTGGGGTGCTGCTTTTTCCAGCGTCTCTTCTTTTCATTGTTATGCCTGTATATTTTGAAATCTAAAATCAGACATTACGTAGAAACGTTTCGATACAGGTGTTCACACACGCATACACGCGCATGCCTGTTCATCCTGACCTGCTCCAAGCCATCCGTGTGGCCATGCGCTTCCTCCACTTCTCACTTCACCATGGTGCTCACCTGTTTGGTGACGGTCCCAGACCAGTAACGCCTTCCTCTGTCCTGTCAGCCCTGCTCAAAGGGCAGATGAGGATCTAGGGAACCCGTGTGTGAAGTAGATTTGGGAGTGGTCAGTGTTTGCTCACCCATGAGTCTGGTCTTCAACTGCTTCTCTGAGCAGTTCGGAAATGTGCTTCAGTGTCTGCAGCCAGCGTCCCCGAGGGACATCTGCGGGTGGAGAGAGACACGTCAGAGGGCAAGTGAGGAAATGGCAAGCCGGTGAGGAGCCACCTGCAGGGATGACCTCACAGTCTTCGGGAGACACCCTTCACTTCTGCTTCACAGAACCCAATACTGTTCGCATGCTCTTCCCAGTCAGTACCTCTCTCTTAAGCAAGATCTGTCCATATTACACAGAGCTGAACCTCAAAGAATCTAATCTCTTTATTTAGTTTTGTGGGGGTTTTTAAGACACAGTATTGCTTTGTCAGAGGCTGGAGTGCAGTGGCACGATTCCGGCTCACTGCAGCCCCAACCTTCTGGGCTCAAGCAATCCTCCTACCTCCGCCTCCCCAGCAGCTGGGACTACAGGGGTGCACCACCATGCCCAGCTATTTTTAAAATTTTTTTGTAGAGATGAGGTTTCATTATGTTTCTCAGACTTGTCTCAAATTCCTGGGCTCAAGTGATCCTCCCCCTTGGCCTCCCAAAGTGTTGGAATTACAGGCATTAATCGCCACACTTGGCCTCAAGTACTTTTGAATTCAGGTACATGGAAGTAGCTAGAGATTGCATAAGCAGCCCCTGCTGAGACTGGGAAATGCCGGCTGCAGATGCCTAGGTTTCTTCTTCTCTACCTACCCACTCCTCCATCACTAATGTGTGATTTCAGAAGAGAGAGAGACTGTAGTAAAGCAGCCAACAAGGAACTAGGAATAGACGGCCTGACTGCTTTCCTAGGGCTGTGATGAACTCACCATACGATTTCAGGTTTACAGTGGGAAAAAAGGCCAGGAAAGAAAGTGAGTGAGCATTATGCAAACAAATGTCTTTTCTTGAGTGAGCTGCTCTGGTTTCACAGTCATCCTGTAGTTTTACACATCTGAGCAGCACATATCTGCAGTTCTATGCAGCATCTGCAAAAATTTTCACATAGTGATAGATGCTACAATCGAACACACAAGGAAGATAAGGCAAGTGATGGATGAGCTGCTGCTACTCCACAAGGCCAGTGCCTCCCTCCTCTGAACCTCCGCGGCCCTTGGAGCACAGCCTTTTGAAGGCATTTTTCGTTTCTTCCTTTTACTAGCTATTTAGACATTTATTTTGCATTTCCTCCACTTGTAGTTCCTACACAGTCAGGGCTTGGAAGTGATCATCTTTTACACCCCTCCCCTGACCTTCACAATGGGCATGAAATAAATTTCTGATGAACAGAAGATCATGCTACTAAAAAACACTTCTTCAGTGTGTGACCATCACACTGTTTGCCAAAGTAACATACAGACAGCTGTTCTAGGAACTAGCACAAGAGGTTCTTGCACTTCTGCTTGAAGCCACCTATTTATATTTGGACATAAATCTACGAGTTACACAAATGGAAAGGTAGAGGGTTGGACCCGTGCCCATGCACCACCTCGCTGTTTGTCTGCTGTTTCCACACGGAGACGCTAACGACTCCGGTACATTTTCTGGAGCTCACTCGGCGCCCCCTGTCGGCTGACTTCAGGCTTTGCTGGTCTGACCTAAGCTGTAGGGTGGACCCTGGGAGAGTGAAGTCCTCATTTTTGTCTTGTTAATAAAGTTTTCCCAAGGGTTTTCATAAAACTGTCACCCAGAGACCCCATCCCCAGCTCCGGCATCTGAGAGGACAGTGTCAGGGGATCACCCTGGGCAAGAACCTACATCTTCTTGAAAAAGGAAGAGGAATTTAGGTTTTGTAAAATGCTCTGAAACTTCGAATCATTTGCATTTCTCAAACAAATCTACTCAAGTCTCAGAAAAAAGGCAGGCCCAAAATGGCATAAAAAGGAAATGTGACTGGCTCGTTCCCTCTGTCTCCTCTCCTGCCATGCTCCAATAAGGCCCCTTTCTGGCTGGCACAGTCTGTGCCCACATCAGGACTGCCTTCCGTCAGGTTTCAGGCCTCAGAGGGAAAGGGGGCCCTTATTCTGTATTTCTGAAATGTCTCCTAAGCATGAGCTCACAGCCACATTCCTGGATCAACACCAGTCGAAGGAAGGCTGGAACCACCACTTCCCCACCCGGATAGCCTTTGGAAGGCTGGCAAAGGGTATCAGGAAAGGCTGCGGATGAAGCACCTTATTGAACACTCTCAAAATCCTTCCCTTAGCTTGGTTAGGGGGAACCTCCCCTGAATTTCCTCAGCTTCATCCATCATTTTATCTTTTCTTCTGCAACAAGGCTGCACGGAGTAGAAAGAATGAAAAGCAAATGAAGGTACTGTTTTCTTCCGACTCAGCCACGTCTCGGCCTGTTCCTGGCATCTGGCGGACCTGGTTGGCACCAGCAGAGCCTGTGTTATCTGGAGGCAGACTAGCAAGACCTACCAGAGGCCACTGGTTTTTGTTTTTTTTTTTTTCCCTTCTTCTTTTGGGAAGTGATCACAACTGGGAAGCCAAGAAGACTCTCATATCAAAATCTACAGAATGTGGGATCCTGGGCGCTCAAAGGATCTTAGAAATAACCAGCTGTGTCTCCCTCATGCTATAGATAAGGGCCTGGTGGGGAGGCCATCATTTGACAGTGCTCTTCCCAGGAAATCATTCTGATGTGGGCAGAGTCAACCCTAACTCACCTTGAGGGTCTTGCAGCAGCACCATGGCAAGAGATGGAGAAGTGTAAGGAAAGTAGGTCTTGAGTGCAAACCGCAGCTGCCACAGGATGGAAAATCCAAAGAGCATGAACATTAAGATTGAAACAGGGTCAGGAAAATACAAAACTCTGAGTCCTCTGCCCAAAAAGACCCACCAGTACTAACATGGTCAGAACACTTTCTGAAACATTTAGTTTTTGAAAAATAAGCTCCCAGTAACCTCATATTTTCCAGAATAATTAACCTTTTAAATCACCTCCTGGGACTTAAGAAAAATAATAAAGTTATGCTCTTGATGTCTTTATGAGTTCTACCTCACATGAACCCAATTATACAAATAAACCTTCTATTTCAGAAAGACTTGTCAGAGCAGTTGTGAGATGTTAGGTATTTCAGCATTTTTTTTTTTTTTTTGAAACGGAGTTTTGCTCATTGCCCAGGCTGGAGTGCCATGGCGTGATCTCAGCTCACTGCAACCTCTGGCTCCCGGGTTCAAGCGATTCTCTTGCCTCAGCCTCCCAAGTAGATGGGATTACAGGCATGCGCCACCACGCCTGGCTAATTTTGCATTTTTAGTAGAGATGGGGTTTCTCCATGTTGGTCAGGCTGGTCTCGAACTCCCGACCTCCGGTGATCTGCCCGCCTCGGCCTCCCAAAGTACTGGGATTACAGGCGTAAGCCACAGCGCCCGGCCTGTTTTTGTTTTTTTTATTTAGATGGAGTCTCGTTCTGTTGCCCAGGCTGGAGTAAAGAGGCACAATCTCAGCTCACTACAACCTCCACCTCCTGGGTCCAAATGATTCTCCTGCCTCAGCCTCCTGAGTAGCTGGGATTACAGGCACGCGCCACCATGCCAGCCTAATTTTTGTATTTTTAGTAGAGATGGAGTTGCACCATGTTGGCCAGGCTGGTCTTAACTCCTCACCTCAAGTGATCCGCCCGCCTCGGCCTCCCAAAGTGCTGAGGTTACAGGCGTCAGCTGCTGTGCCGGCTCAGCGTGGTTTTTAAAATAACAACAAAAGCATAAAACAATTGTGCTCACTTTTCGAGGGCCAAAGAGCTCCAGCTATCCACACCCCCAAGTGGCACAGCTTTTTAAAACATTGAGGTAAAATCTATAAAGCATGGAGTGGAAAGGCTTTAAGTATATGAGGTTTTGGTAAACGAGCAAATCCACGTGACCGCCACCCCAGTGAAGACACCATTTCTATCACGCCAAGAAGACCTCTTCCAACTCTTAACAATCATTCCCTCCACCCCACCCTGGCAACCAATATTTTGATTTTGACAAGAGAGATTAATTTTGCTTATTCTTGAATTTTGTGTAAAGGGAACATAAAGTATGTTTTGTGTCTGGCTTCTTGGGCTCAACATGTTTTTTTAAAGATTAAACCATGTTATTGTGTGCGAGTAGATCATTCTGTTTTTATTGCTCAAAAGTAGTCTGAATGGTATGAATATGCCATAGTCTGTTTGGCCATTCTCCTCTTGATGTGCTTGGGCTGCTTCCAGTTGAGGGCTATCATGAATAAAGCTGTAGTTCACATGCATACATATGTCTTTTTGTGGACATGTGTTTCTGTTTCTCCTGGGCACACCATTGGAATGGAATTGCTGGGTCACAGATAGATGCTTGTTTAACATCATAAGGCCATATGGTTTTCCAGTGTTGTGCCATCTCACTCCCACCAGCAATGTGTGTGAACTCCAGGTGCTCCACGTGCTCCCAGCATTTGGTGCTGTCAGTCTTACTAATTTCATCCATTCTAGTGGCTAGGGAACATAACCCCATGTATGCTTGCTTTCCTACCTGTTTCACTCTGCACTTTTCTGATGGCAAATGATGCCGAACAATTTTCATGTGCTTACTGCCAATTTGTATATCTTTTTTGAAAGTGTATATTCAAGCCTTTTGTCCATTTTCGAAACTGGTTTCTTAGTTAGTTATAAGAGATCTTCATATATTCTGGACACGTCCTCTGTTGTATACATGTATTACAAATATTTTCTCCTAGCTAACGGCTTGCTTTTTCAGTTTCTTCTTTTTCTTCTTCTTTTTTTTAAATTTATTGAGACGGAGTCTTGCTCTGTTGCCAGGCTGGAGTGCAATAGTGTGATCTTGGCTCCCTGCAACCTCCACCTTCCGGGTTCAAGCGATTCTCCTGCCCCAGCCTCCCAAGTAGCTAGGACTGAAGGCACATGCCACTACCCCCAGCTAATTTTTGTATTTTTAGTAGAGACGGGGTTTCACCATGTTGGTCAGGATGGTCTTGATCTCTTGACCTTGTGATCCACCCACCTCAGCCTCGCAAAGTGCTAGGATTACAGGCATGAGCCACCGTGCCTGGCCTGCTTTTTCAGTTTCTTAATGATATCTACCAAAGCATATAAATTTTAAATTCCTTTCTCATTTTTTGAGATATGGTTTCATTCTGTTGCCCAAGCTGGAGTGCAGTGGCATGATCATAAGCCTTGATCTCCCAGGCTCAAGTGATGCTCCCACCTCAGCCTCCCGAGTAGCTAGGACACAGGTGTGTGCCACCACGCTCAGCGAAATTTTGTATTTTTTGTAGAGAAGGGGTCTTACTTTGTTGCCCAGGCTGGTCTCCATCTCCTGGGCTCAAAAGATCCTCCTGCCTTGGGGCTCCCAACGTGCTGGGATTCCGGGCGTGAGCTATGCCCCCAGCCTAGAAGTTTTAAATTCTGATGAGGTCTAATTTATCCATTTTTCTCCTACGGTTAGTGCTTCTGAGAAATCTTGGATCACCTCAGGGTCAAACAGATACATTCTCCTACGCTCTCTCTAGGGACTTTATCTTTCTAACATTTCTGTTGAAGCCCATGATCCTCTCCAATTAACTGTTGTGTGCTGTATAAGGTAATGGTTGAGGCTCATTTTTCTACATAGGGACATCCAGTTATTCCAGCATCATTTGTTGAAAACGTTCCTTTCCCCATTGAATTGTCTTGGCGTCTCTGTCAAAAATCGATTGGCCACATATGCATGGTCTGTATCTGGACTCAATGCTGATCTACGCTTGTCTTTTTGCCAATACCTCACTGTCTTGATTACAATAGCTTTTAAAATCTTTTTTTTTTTTTCATTTTAAGACAGGGTCTCGCCCTGTCATCCAGGCTGCGGTGCAGTGGCGTGATCATGGCTCACTGCAGCCTCCACCTTCTGGGCTCAAGCAATCCTCCCACCTCATCCTTTCGAGTAGCTGGGACTACAGGCATGCATCACCATGCCCAGCTAATTTTTTATTTTTATTTTTTTGCAGAGACTGGGGTCTCACTATGTTGCCCAGGCTGGTCTTGAACTCCTGGACTCGAGCAATCCTCCCACCTTGGACTCCCAAAGCGCTGGGATCACAGGCATGAGCCACCGTGTCCAGCCAGGTCTTTGGTTTTTTGTTCAGTCTGACATTTCTGCCTTTTTACTAGAATATTTAACTTCCATTTAATGGCTGAAATTAATGTCATTCGTGGTAGTTTTGGGTTTAGGTCTACCTTTTGACATTGGTTTTCTTTTTCCCCCTCAATTTTTTTTTGTTCCTTTGGCAGTTTACATTTCTATTTTTTGGCACCTTAACTCAATCCGATTGTGTTAAGTTCTGGCCCTCCCCGGCCCCACACCCGCTCCCAACCTCACATGAGGGCAGCTGCGGGGTGGGGTGAGGGGGGCAGGAGACCTCTCAGAGTGGTGTCCCTTTAAAGCGCTGGTGGCCTCCAGTCTCCATCCACTTTCTCAGGTGCTCTGTATGCCTTCAAATAGATTTTAAAAAATACTTTGCTGGGAGTTTATCATTTTTATCTCTGGGAGATTTAATCCAGCTCATGAGCAGATGCTGTCATGGCTGCAACCAGAAACTGAGCTGACTGGCTGTACTAAGCCACAGTGCAGGCTTCGGATAAGTGGCTTATCACACCCACCTCAATTTCTGCCTACTGTCTGATAGGGCATAATGACGGAGCTGACTGTGTCCTCCAAACAGAACGGGGCAAGAGCAAAGGGTAAGAAGAGACAGAATCACTGACGTGAATGCTTCTGATGATGGGTGAGAATGTGGATTTACGGGATCACTCATAAACCGTTGCAGGAAGTGCAAATGGGCACCAACACTTCGGAAATGACTCTGGCAGGATCTATGAAAGCTGAACCTCTGCATACGGAGCACCTTCCACTCCGAAGTACCTGTCCCAGAGTGTCCATAGCAACATCGTTTGCAATAAAACACAAAACCTGGAAGCATCCCCAGCGCCTCCCAGCAGCAGGATGGCTGTACCGCCACACGTTTTCACATGGACTGTGCATAACAACACTTCCCCACAGCCACATGTGGCAACGTCAAGCAGTCTTTGCTGAGTGGAAAAGCAAGTCTGAAAAGACTGCACACAGTATGCTGCTCCTGTTTGTTTTATAAAGTGCAAAAACAACCGAAACTAAACAAAACATTGTTTAGGCAGTCATATATATGTGATCAAACTACCTTTAGAAAGAGCAAAGGAATAATAAACGTAAAATTCAAACCAGAGGTTACCTGGAGGGAGAGAGGCAAGGAGGAGTATGTGTATAGACACGTATTCAGATGATTAGATAGCAGGTTTACAGATATTCATTTTATTAAGAAAGAATTAATGAATAAACCACAGAGAGAAAAGAGGGTCATGCATCTACCAGATATGACATGAGGGGTTTTGATTAGCTAAAAATGGACACTCAAGAAGGCAGAGGGTCAACAGATGCGGACGGCCATCAGTTAAAAAGGCAGGCACGCAGAAACAGCTCTAGGAAGAGAAATAAACGAACAGATACCTATGCAGGCATCGGCAAAACGAAGAGACTTCGCTCTCCTTTGTTGAGCTGAAGGTGAGGGTGGTGAATTCCTGTTTGCTTTCGGATCCCTGCCCTGCCTCACACCAGGACCCCATGTGTGGTCCCACGTCCTTAGATACGTATGCCTGGTCAGGGCACTATTCTCAATTAAAAGCAACTGCAACATCAGTCCCAATCCATAGTGGCCACGGCCAAATCAGAGGCTGAGGGCGAAGCCAAGAAGAAAAACAGGCGTGAGCTAAGCCTAAAGAGCACGGTGGCGTTCCTCCGCGGCCGCTGCTCCAACCCAGGTGTGCTCCGCGAGGCCGAGGTGAGACTCCCTAGAGGCCCGTTCCTAATGGGGACTATAAAGACACTGACAGTTAGGCTTAAAATAACCGTGAGGACCAGCCGTGCCTTCCAGCTGAGCCGCCTCCAAAACTCTAGGTGGGACCACAGAGAGCGCAGCTTGCTACAGCCCAGCTAACTTCTCCAGGGAAAGTGAGGGTGGGAAAAAATAAATCACAGATATTTATTGTTGGCCAGGCACAGTGGCTCAAGCCTGGAATCCCAGCACCTTGGGAGGCCAAGGTGGGAGGATCCCTTGAACCCAGGGGTTCGAGACCAGCCTGGGTAACAGAGAGACTCCATTTCCACAAAAAAAAATTTAAAAATTAGCTCAGCGTGGTGGCTTGAACCTGTGGTCCCAACTACTTGGGAGGCTAAGGTGGGAGGATCGTTTGAGCCCAGGAAGCCGAAGGCTGCAGTGAGCCGAGATCACACCACTGCACTCCAGCCTGGGAGACAGAGTGAGAGCCTGTCTCAAAAAATAAAACAAATATATATTGTTGTTATAAAAAGCAGAAACAGGCTGGGTGTGGTGGCTCACACCTGTAATCCCAGCACTTCGGGAGGCCAAGGTGGGAAGACTGCTTGAGCCCCGGAGTTTGAGACCAGCCTGGGCAACATGATAAAACCCCATCTCTAATAAAAATGCAAAAATGAGTGCTCCCTCCAGTCCGTGCCTCCAATATGACGAAGAAGAGAAGGAACAACGGTCGTGCCAAAAAGGGCCGCGGCCACGTGCAGCCTATTTGCTGCACGAACTGTGCCCGATGTGTGCCCAAGGACAAGGCCATTAAGCAATTCGTCACTGGAAATACAGTGGAGGCCGCAGCAGTCAGGGACATTTCTGAAGCAGGTGTCTTCGATGCCTTTGTGCTTCCCAAGCTGTGTGTGAAGCTACAGTACCGCGTTGTGCAATTCACAGCAAACTAGTCAGGAATTGATCTCATGAAGCCCACAAGGACCGAACACCCCTACCCCGATTTAGACCTGCGGGTGCTGCCCCACGTCCCCCACCAAAGCCCATGTAAGGAGCTGAGTCCTTAAGGACTGAAGACGGACTATTCTCTGGAGAAAAATAAAATGGAAATTGCACTTAATAAAAATATACAAAAAGTAGCCATGTGTGGTGGCGTGCACCTGTGGTCCCAGCTACTCGCGGGCACTAAAGTGTGAGGATCACCTGAGTGTGGGGGGTTGAGACTGCGGTGAGCTGAGATCACATCACTGCACTCCAACCTGGGTGACAGAGTGAAACCTTGTCTCAAAAAAAAAAAAGAAAAAGAAAAAGTAGAAATATCAGCTAAAACCTAAGAGATCTGTTTGACATTGACGAGGGTGTGATCCGGTGGAGCCAAGCACTGTAGCTCTGCTCTCAGAAGTCAAACTGCAGAGAGCTTCACAGGGGCCGTGACATACTCCACAGATGAGATGCGCTGGACCAGCACCGCTCTCGACAGGCAATATGTCCCACAAACATTACTTCTGTGGCCGTTAGAAATCAAGGCCAAATAAAATGCTGAAAGGTGAAAGCTCTCTGGTAGCAAAGGTTACTGTTTCACGAGGTCACTCTAATTGGTCAGTGACCCTTGGCAGCTGTTGCCCAGCCTCTGCTGCTGGGGACCTGGAGCACAATCTTCTGTAGGGTTCAGGCCTGGCCTTTGGTTTACTGACTGTGCCTAACACACACCTCCTGCTCACTGCCCTTCCTCGCTCCTCCTCTAGTTAGTCAAGCCTTTCCCAGTCACTCTTACCACCTCCTTTCCTGGAATCCAATTCACATTTGGGTCTCTGATAAGAATAAAGATGCAAATAATGAAGAATGTCCAGGACTGCTTTGCAATAAACGCCCTTTCCTATTCAGTGCATGCCATACAGACCCCAGGATGCCTCCTGCGGACCTGGGAGGCTCAGATGCAGCCAGAGGGCAGTGTCCCACTCGGCAGACAGCGCACAGCACAGGGCCACGCATGCTGGCTTCACAGAGTTCTCAGATACAACAGTAGACAGATGCCTGTGGGTACCAGGGCACGGGACAGACAGATCTTGATTTGTGTTAAGTTAAAATGGTTTAACCTTTGTTGGGGGACTCATTAGGAACCTTTCTTTGTGAGCAAAACAGTCCATCAGAATTACTGAAAATAAAGTGCTCTTGTCCAAAATACTCCCAACAGCCTCTTATTCTTTGGGATGAATGAGTAATAGATGCAATATAACAAACCTGCTTGTTTTCTTTCTCCAGAGCTTCTAGGAAGCACTGCGTAAACACTTGAATAGTGGCTATGATTTCCGGGGCCCCATCGGTTTCCAGGAGTGCACACCTGAACAATGCAAAGTCAGATCAGAACACATTTAACAAGTCATCCGGCAAACATAAAAACCTGTACTGTATAAGGGAAGAGTGGAAACACTTTTTTTGTGCCATAAGCTTCAGCAGTATCTCAACTCATCAGATTTCAGTCCTTGTGGGAAAGCAGGATAAATCTGTCGCTCCCTTTTGTAAATATTTTCTTTAAAATTGCAATGTGTAGAGCTCTCTTTCTTGGTTCTTAAATTATTAAGCAATGCAAATGCCTTCCATACAGGCTTGCATACTCTGTACAAATATTTTTGTATTGTATGCCTGGACACGCAACGTCAATATTTTGCTTTCACAAGTGGAGAAATGGCTTGGTCCATCCACCCAGCAAAGTAGGAAAAGAATCTGTGTGTACCTGTACCTGGTTTGGTTTCCGTGCATTTTCATACAATTAATTTTTATGTTTGTTTAAGCAAAAAAAAAAAAAAAAAAAAAACCCTCAAATTTTGCTAGCTTTAAACCCTAAACAGTCATTACTGTAAAAATTCCTTTCCCCAAAGTCTGCAGTCTGCCCTGCAGCCTCTGCTGCTGTGTATTAGGTGGGAGGGACTAGAGAGAGAGCTGATACGGGTTCCCGTGGAAGAGGGGCTGGGACACTCCAGGTTGACAAGCTCCCCAGCTGGGTCCAGTCTTAGTACTCCATGGTTAAAACTCCCACTAACTGCCAGCCACAACTCAGCTTCATGGCTATGAGCTCCTCGTCTCTTGCCGTCTGTAAATCTAAAGCATTTTCCAAGAAGTACTCGTATTTTCAAAATAAACATTCAATGTGTTGTAAGAGAACATGCAAGGTGTATTTTGCCCCACAGAAGAGCTCTGTTAAGAATGACTATTCATTTATTTTTCTTGGCTTTCCTTAGCTTTAAAGTCTTTTAAAAAGATTGGTCAGCCCTCACGTGGTGAAGGGAGTATATTGCTACCCTTTATTCTGAGCTAAGAAAAATCCTACATGAATATTTCATGATATTAATATCTAACTCAATTCTGTGTTTCTATTATTAGAATCTTTAAAGGCTAAAGAAAAGGAAGTTATCTTAATTCTTAGGCACTGGTCTTTAAATTTACACTGATTTTTTAGTTTTTACCTCTAATTACCACAAAGCTCAGAGGAATAGGAGGGAATCAGAAACTCTAATTTCCCTGTGGTACAGCCAGAGACTACCACAGCATTTTCTTTTCATGTTTGGAAATGGAACCTTTTTTGCATCAATTACTAGAAGAAACAGTGTAACATTTACCTGAACATCTCATCGACAACCCGGAATATGGCAGGGTGGCAGGCTGCTTGAGGCTGTAAAAGGAGACCAGGAGAAGGTGAAATATCGCAGGCACTTTCTCAGAAACTTGCTATTATCAGCCCCAGGAGTTATCGGGAACTGCTCATGTCCAGAACACTGGCATGTTCCTTTTGGTTAGAAAACAGAAGCACTGCTGGACTGAAAACACCCCACACACAAGTGCAGACGGTGGTCTCCTGGGCAGGGGTACAGGCTTCCTGTATATTCCTCTGTATACTCCTGTATGTCCCACGTTTTCTACAAAAGCTCAGGCGATCCATAACACAGGATCAGCAGGTACTACGGAAACTTACACATCCTCTGCCCGCATGCGGGGGCTGCCTGTGCCACCTCCTCAAAGGGCTCCCGTGCCTCGAGGTCGGGCCGTGCCTGCAGCCTGCTCCTTCCTGCGAATTCGGTCATGGGTACATGGCAATGCAGAATTACTGGCAAACCAGCGACCACCACGCCGGACTCAATCACATGCATCTTAGTGCACTGAACAGCTTACGTGATTTAAGACGAAAAGCGGGTTCGTGAAGAATAAAAGGCATCTAACTTCTCTAACTTCCCCTTGATGTTCCGGCCGTGGGTTCCGATCACTGGTCTGCGGAAGCCCCGGGAGCTGGGGGCAGCTTCCCCGGCCCAATCCCCGGTTCCCTATGGTTCTGGCCAGAGCTCAAAGTAGGAGACGATGCCCGATGCAAACGCCCATTTGTGTTCCAAAACAGGCCCTTTATAGCAGGGTCCGTGATGTTTCTGGCACCAGAGCGGCTTCGTGGAAGGCGCGTGTCCGCAGACGCGGCGGGGAGACGGTTCCACGGAGCGGCCGCCCTCAGACCGGGGGATTCCGCGCATGCGCAGTCACGCGGGGCGGCTCCGACGCGCAGGTGGATCGGGGCTCCCGGAAATTCAGTCACGCTGCACGTGCTATGACCACAGCTTCGGGAAACGCTGTTCGCAGGCCCCATCCGCCCCATCCGCCCCATCCGCAAGAAAAGAGGCGGCTTTGCTCCGCCCCGTGCCCCGGCGCACACTGAGGCAGCTCCGCCCTCCCCGCGGCCGCCCGTGGACACCGAGCCCGCGCCCTCTAGCGGCCACTCGCCAGCACTGCCGGCCCCGCCGGGCTCCAGGCAGCAGCTCCGCCCCTTGTCCAAGACAGGATAATCGCCTTTTAATTATCTCAGGATTTCTAATTTGCAAGTTAAAACGTCCTACTCTTTAAATCATCTATGCTCCCTCCTCCTTCACTGATGTGCATTTTTATCTAAAAGGAACTTGAAACTCTTACAGATAAATTCATTATCTATGCAAGAAAATAATTTGGCAGGACCACGGTTGGAGAGAGAAGAGGCAGGTTATTTCGTGGCTTTGAACTCAGGCATGTCAGTGAATCTCCTGCTGCCCAGTCTCACTGTAAATAACAACAGTTATTAAGCGGTCACTGGATATAAGCACGGAAAACATAAACGTTTCTATGCATTCATAACGAAAAAAATAAAACAAGGGGAAAGCAACTGTATGTCTTGAAGAAATGTGATTCATCGAAGTTTGCCAGAGCAATTTTCAAAGTTTGCACGACAACATGCCTATTGAATAAGAGTGTTTAAGATCAAATAGCACTCTTTGGTGCCCACAGGCAGACAGACAAGAAAGAGCCTGGAAATGCATTGATAAGATCAAACTTGAAAATGGCAAAACTGAATTTCTTTTTTCTAAATAGTCAAACTATCCCAGAGCCATTCTATAGGTCTGATGATAGTAGAGAATCATTCCATACTAATTATAGTGATTTCCAAACAGCAAAGAAAATGATCAGATGTGTAGATTAGGGCTACCATGAAAACCACTGGGGCAGCAAGGAAGCCAGCTCTAACTCCGTTCGTCAGAAGAGAGTGAGAGCTTGGATGTGCTCTTCTGCTGTGAGCTGTTTTCTAGCAAAATCGCTCCGTCCGATGTTTTAAATGTTTGCTGGCTGTGTGGAATCTGCTTGTTCTTTCCCATACAGATGGACTCTCCTCTTAGATTTCTTTCTTTCCAAATATTTCAGACCCTTGGCTACTCTCAGCCTGCTTCCACAACCCATTTTGGCTTTTAAAACAGATAAAAGACCAGGAGGCAGGGGAACCTGCGGAAACAGCAACGGCAGAGATTTTGATTTGAAAACCAGTCTCCCTTGCCACCCCACAGCTGTGAACAGCTCCTTCTCATCTGCACCCCTCACCGATGGCTTTTAAAATGAGACTCTTTATACTTTCTGAGCACATAATTTCAGGGTCAGTGAGTCCCCTCATGAGGACTGGAGTACTACAGGTCAGGCTTGTGTCCCAGCGACATCAAATCACAAAAGCAATCTTAAGCTGCTTTTCTTATCAAGATAATCTTCCAAATAGAATTAAGGTTTTAATACACGCTTCTTTGGAAGCCGAAGTATCTTCCCCCCTAAATGTCTGTAGCCTCCTCTAAGTGATGATGCAGGCGTCTAACCTCTGTGAATCCTGTTTTATGTGTAGGGTGGGGCACTCCGGTAACACACCAGAGGTCACGCTGCAGCCCAGGGCTCCAAAGCCCCATGACCGGGGCCATTATCTTTTCTATAAAAGTGAGGAAAGAAAATAAACCTTTTGTGGTTTCCATCTGTTTGTTTTTCTCCATCCTACCAAAATCTGTTCCTTCTCAAGCTCTCTCCTCTCCATCTGGCCTAACGATTTCCACGGGCAGATCATTTCAACTCGAGGGGAGCTATGTCAGCAGGAGGACTTCAATAACACGAGTCTTGTCCTTCCCTATTTCCCCTAGTCTTTTCACTGAATGCCCAGGATGACTAGGGGGGCAACAATGCAGAGCTCTGGGTTCTGCCTTCCTTCTCCTCTAGACCCGATGGTTCTGCTGGGTGTGCATCCCCTTGGGCTAATGAGTGCTTTCCCTCTCATCTCCCCTCACGGCTACCCCAAACTGCATCATCTCCCCTCCACCTAGAAAGATGGCCATCTTCATTCCTCAAAACACAAAGGAAGACAAAGTCAACATGGAGTCAATACACAGTCACCGCGGTCTCAATGCCTGTTTTGGAGGACAGCATGGAGTCGATACACAATCACCATGGTCTCAATGCCTGTTTTGGAGGACAGCATGGAGTCGATACACAGTCACCGCGGTCTCAATGCCTGTTTTGGAGGACAGGCAAGGGAGAGACCAACTTGTCACTCTGCACCATGAACTGTGCAAATTACACAGGCTCTTGTGTCTGGTCCTTGATGTTTACTTAAGCTGTTATTTTCATACCGACTCACCAGTGATTATTACAAGCCACTTGCCACTTGAAAGAGGCCTGAGAATGCAGAAAAACAGAATTCTCAGGAAGAAGCATTTCTTTTTTTCTGTCATTTGCTGATTTTGTGTGTGTGTGTGTGTGTGTGTGTGTGTGTGAGAGAGAGAGAGAGAGAGAATAGGGAAAAGGAGAGGGAGAGAAAACAAACCAAAAAGGGAAATTGGACTATGATTTAAGGTAATTCACAGACAAAAGCAAATCCCTTTTAGAAAAAATAAAAAGGCGGTGAAGCAACAGAAAAAATTATCAAGTACTTTCCATCTATCACCTTTCATAGGTATATTCGCCTTAAAAATAAAGAAGGAAATAGCAGATGACAGAGAAGCTGAAGTTCATTAAGCCTGGCATAGATTCTTTCCTGGTATTTTAATGTACTTGCATGCAGTTTAAATATTTACTTAGGAAATGGGTCATTTAAAGAATCAGCTAATGGGCAGCTTCCCCTCCAGTTTACCCAGCAGCTGGACAATCCCGTCCCACTGTGTAGCTGTTTCCGAGCCACTGTTCTCTCCACAGTGGGAAGCCCTTGCTGTTAATATGTGCATATTCAACACAAAATACCTTTCTTCTTAAAAAGAAGATTCTCCATAAGAGTCATTTCACCAGTGAACTCCTCTATTGAATTGAAAAATGATTTGGCTTGAGCAAAACCTATTTATACAAAACCTTTACATCTATCATGTACTATGAGGCACCTTTATAAATATGTATTTTTTATTATGCCATTTGCTTCTTTTCTATTTTCAAAATACTAAACATAAGACTCTAAATATCCCTTTTACATTTTCAGATCTATTTTGTTTTAAAACATTCAGGTTCCTTTTAACAAATTGGAGCTTGGAAAAACTATTCTTTCTTTTTAATCTTTACCAGATGTTGTTTATACACAAACAATTTTTTCAGTACTCCATAATGCAGTTATTGTTTAATTAGTGATAAATCTGTCATTCCTGGGCTTAAGAACTTAACAAGTACCAAATGTACTTTTGCGTCTTAAATTTACATGAGCTCTCCTCCGTATTTGGACACAGAAGTGGGAGGCACAGGGATGCCCAGCACCCCCTCCCCAGCCCCCTACCCCTGCCTGAAGTCCTAGCCTTGCCCAGTGGCCTCTATCCAATTAGCCAGGGTAGCCCAGGCCGGAAGAAAGCTCCTGGCCACCTGCTGCTTCACAGCCCAGCCTGAGTGGCAATGACCCCTAGGTCCATCCCTGCTTTGTTTCGGGGTTTTTTCCTCTCTCCCTTCATCTCTGGCCACAAGGTCTGCATCCCCAATTGCAATTCCAACTGCAATTCCATTGCAAGGAAACTTGCAGTGTGGGCCTCTGTCTTCACAGAGACGATGCTGGAGGATCTGGTGCCCCCCTGAGGCTAATTCTGGAAAGTGCAACTCCAGTCCAAGACGCAGAATCTTCCAGCTTTTAGCAACACACATCAGCCAGCACTACTGGACCACTGCTAAATTATCTACTCCAGCGCTTGTTCAATTACATGCACCACATTAAAGAGCTCAAAAGGAAGTGCTGAAAAGACTGAAATAGCAGGAAAAGAAAACCCTGGCATGTTACTGAAAAGCTACTTAAGCACGGCAAACTGACGATATCACCCAGGATGTGGAGTGAACTCTTCAGCACAGCATTTTACCAAGGAGGAGCTGCACACTGGGAGTCTGTGTAAAGGAAGTTTCTTTTTCTTTCTGAAGTGCTATAATAGCTACCTGGAGAATGAGGAAAAAAACACATCCTATCCCATACCAAGGAGGATATATACTGAGGTATCTAGATGCTTTTTATTCTTAAGTTCTTATTAGATAAATCTTCTGAATTGCACCATAAAGGTTTTTAGGTAGGAGAGAAAATGAAGCATATTCTGATATCAACTATTAGTGAAACAGAAACAGAACACTCAGCTGGGTGCCTCCTCTGCTCCTTTTCTTTTGGGGACAAGTCTGCCTGGGAAGATAAGGCTAGCTCCTCTGGACCCAGCTGCGGGTGGGCTCTGCTGGCAAAGGAACGAAAGGGAGGGCATGGGAACCGGGTACCTTCCAGCCCTGGCATGCAGCTTGCCAGCCAAGCACAGTGCCACCCTGACACCCTGCAGACACTTTTCATTCCAATGTGGAATCCAAACAATAGCTTTCTGGGCTCCACAAACAGAACTGTAACTAGAAAACATAACATCCTTCTAATTCGGGGCCAGCCTTGGGAAACCGAACAATGCCAAGAAGGCAGCATAATTAACAAGGGGCTTTCACTGCTGTGGGTGACGTCAGTTTCTAAGGTCAGGTCTGAAGCTACGGATTATGGTCTTCCTGTGCCCGTGCTGTCAAGGGAAACACAAGACCATCTGCTTTTGAAAAGTTTCAGTCTGTACAGTAAATGACCATCTAGGGCTAACACCTCGCTTGATGTAGGAGCCACCAACTGTGGCGGACAGCATGACTCGAGGGCAGTCCGGTCTACCGCACGGAAGCCAAAGGGGAAGCCTCAAAAGTGAACGGGCTTTGAAAACTTCTCTTTCATTTTAGATGTTAAATACATACACAGTCATTTGGAACTCAGGTAATCAGAGACTAATCCCTCATTATTCATGGTCTTAATGGAAAATACCAGACCTGTGAGTCCAGGAGGCATGTGGGAGGTCACTTCACTCTGTGCAGCCCGTACCGCACTTTTATCTTTTGTTTTTGTTACCTTTCGGAGGTCACTTCACTCTGTACAACCTGTACCGCACTTTTATCTTTCGTTTTTGTTACCTTTCGGTAACTACAGAATTTCCAGGACTCATTCTGGATAGTCCCAAGAGAGGGAAACATAATTAACAGTGCTCTATATAAAACACAAGTTATGTAGACCATCACACTTTAATTACTCTCGGAATCCAACCCTAATGTAATAGGCATCAGGTTTCCGCTGGAGCACGGCGCAGCAGTCTCGTGCTATCTGAGTCTCAGAGATCTCTCTGATACTTCTGTACAGTCCTGTCACTGCACCAAGATGCTGCACTGCGATAAATGAATCAGATGATGCAATTAGGAAGCAGGCTCTTCAGGTTACCCCTGCAGTCACTTAGCCACATCACAGGCCTATTCCAGCCTGCCTGGCTTTCTGGCACTGCAGGCCCGGGATGCTGAGGAGAACAGCCCACACCAATCAGGGGCTTCCACTCATCGTCTGTATTGTAATTACCTCCTGGAACCATGAGGCGCAGAGAGGTCACATCCTGCCAGTGCCACAATACATTAAACCAAATAACACCCTCTAGAATCGCCCTTTAGCCATAATGGAAGCTCTGAATTTCTGCACACATGATCCTGATAAAAGCTTTTGTAAGTCAGCGGAAGATTACTGTAAACTACAAACTGGAGACTGAGCACTATACAGTGATGTGCAATGGGACAGCCTGCGTTCGCTGTCTTGCATCTGCTGTGCTCACCACAGTGCTACTCAGGCATGAGGACTACAGGCAAAAAGGACATGGAGAAGGTTCAGAGAAGAATCCAAGGATTAAGGAAAGGCTGGAGAAAAGGCAATGGGACTAGAATTTCTCAACAGGGAGAAGACTTAAAGAAAATGTCATAAGCACCCTGGGAGCAAGCACATAGCCCAGTTACTATATTTTGCCACTGAAAAGGGCCCAGAGAAACTGAAGTCCTAGTATGCTCATGTCAGTTAGAAACAGATTTAGCGGACAACAGAGGTAATTTATGACCTTGAATCACCAGGAATGGGCTGTCAGAGGGCTTCTGAAAGTCGTGATTTATTTTGAATTGTACTGCAATCATTTTAAAATAAGGTGCATTCCTATTTCTTGCCTTAATATACGACTCTTTTGGATGGTAAGGTTAGGTAGTAATTATCCTTAAGAAATCTCTTTGGGCGCTCTCAGTCTTAATATACACATGTCTTCCTTTCTCTTCTATCATGGCAAACGTTCAAGTCAGGTGGGATCAGTGTGTGCAGCCTGAGGTATGGGTGAGAGCAGCGTGGCTGTCAGCACCTGCAACCCTATGCACGTCGCCCTGGGAGGCCGAGGGGAAGGGTGAAAGGGGCCATGAAACAAGGGGAGAAACGGGATCGAGGAGGAAGGCAACTGACTCCATTAGGATTCCCTTAGACAGTCGGCAACTAGAAAGGGAAAGAAAGAACGCAGAAGTCCCAGCTGCACTAAACAAGCCTCTAGGAGGTAGGACAAGTGGGCACAGCCAACCTCAGAGACTTCCTCAGTCTCAGCTCAAGGGCGAGGGTGAACACTCCCTCCTTCCCAGAGTCCCGGCCAACAACTAAAGACCAGACTGTTCCCTGTGGCTCTCGGAACTCACTTTCTCTGCTTGTAGGAAGCAGGAAGAGGTGGAAGGCAATCTCTGTGCCACATCACTGCAGGTTCCGAAAGCTAAAGGGAAACAGGGCAGAGTCAACTGGGGCTCCTGGAAGACAAAGCAACTGCAGGTTTCTGAATCGTTTTTTCAGGGTGCCTTGGTCTTTATTCCCGTCCTACAAAATGTGCTCCAGTCCCACAGAGCTGCCTCCCACGAAGGAAGATGACTGGCAAGTCAGTGGTGGCGACGGCCACTGAGAGCCCAGGGTGCCAGACACCGGGCCCGGAGGTGGATGTCCACGTGGGCTGGAGTTCCCGGCTGCACAGTCCTGAGGGGGAAGGGAGCCAGCATCACTGCACAGGGGAGGGTGAAGGCAGGTGGCCTCACACCAAAAGAAAACTTACAGAAGTCTTAGCAAGTTCTGCTGCTTTAACCATTTTTCTGGGGTTTTGTGTCTCTCGAGTATTTCACCTTTCCTCTAGTGAAGAGCTAAAAGTTTATTTTTTGAATGTTTTTAATTGATTCCTCCTCTTACCCATAAGTTCATTTCTAAAAACTTATTTTCCATGCTGAAATAATACTGTTTTTAAAAAGTCTGTTGTGCAAATGTCAATTCTTGTGAACATGTGATATATGGCACATCAATCAAGTAAACCTCGAATCTCTCCCTGCATGCTCCAAGGATGCAGAAAAGCCCCTACGTTAGCGATTTCAAATATAAAATGTAAATACATGATTATTTATAAAGGTTCCAATTGCTCTTTTGTTTACATCCCCCCATTTCATTCTCTGACTAAAAGAAATGATTCCCAGCATCTCCTTCAAGGATTTTTTCCCTTCATCAAAGCCCAGCACGTACCAGCAATGAATCTTTTATAAAGCATTCGATCCTTCTCAGACAATTTCTCTCACTGGAGATTAGCTTTTCAAAAAGATGCAGCATTGCTTTTTCAAGGCTGGGAAGGTGCCGAAGCCAGAGGCAGACTACAGCCGACATGGGGAGAGAAATCTTCTTCCTTTCAGAAGGAAATAAACAAAATTTTAACTAGAAATGGCTTACTGAAAAAAGAAGATGAAGAAAGTTCAAAATGCAATCACTAATCCAATTTGTGAGACGACTTCTCATCACGGTCATAGCAGTGGCTAATAATTTATAGAACCAGTGAATATTTACCAAGTACTCATTTGCAAAGTAATGTGAATATGCTTCCACTTCAATTCACCGTAAGAAATCAGAAATGCTTAGGAAAAAAAATTGCTTTCAAAAAGAATAAGCAAATGTCTACTGATGGAAGAAAGAGGGAGTGATAACGAACGGGATGGAAAGGCCTTGTGATGCCCAGTCCCTAACTGAAGAAATAAGCGTGTTCAAACGTGTGTCATCATGCCTCACAATAGGGACATGAACCTGGGTTTCAGTCCCAGCGCCACTGCCTACTAATTGTATGATCTTGGGGAAGTTCACCTCAGTTTATTCATCCGTAAAATGGGCCTATCTCCTTCACAGTGTTCTTGGAAGGATGAAATGCAACAACACACCTGCAGTGATTAGCACAGGGCTTGGCACATAAACATTCAATAACTGTAACTGTAATCGGTTGCTTGAAAGTTGAAAATATTTCTAACAATTTCAGGGCCAGATGCAGTGGCTCACACCTACAATCCCAATACTTGGAGAGACTGAGGTGGAAGGACCACTTGAGCCCAGGAGTTCCAGACCAGCCTGGTCAAACAGTGAGGCCCTGCATCTACAAAAAAATGTTTTTTAAAAAATTAGCCTGGCATGGTGATGTCACACCTGTAATCCCAGCTACTTGGGAGGCTAAGGCAGGAGGATTGCTAGAGCCCAGGAGGCTGAGGCTATAGTGAGCCGTGTTCACATTGCTGCACTCCAACCTGGGCAAAAGAGCAAGACCTCATTTCAAAAGAAAAAAATCCAACTTCATATATGGTGGTTATAGCCCAGTTGGTGCACTGGACCTTAAGTATGACACTGGATAGGTTAGTAGGACTGGGAATCAAAGGTTCCTTAAAAAAAAGAAAAATTTTATATATATATATAAATGTGATCTCCCGCTCACACCCTGAGCTTCAACTTGTCCAGGACCCACCAGCAGGCCCCGTTCCTCATCTCCCCACCTCCCACACCTGGCAAAGCCCTGCCATGGTGCCACACCCCCTCAATACTGGACATGCCATGTACTCAGATGAATGCCATGGTGCCACACCTCCTCAATACTGGACATGCCATGTACTCAGATGAAAAGAAGGGAAGAAATGATTTCTGGAGGATTTACTAAGAGATCAGTTTGAAGTGTGTGGATTTGGAGTGTCTGAGGCACAATCAAGCAGATATTCAACAGGTCCTTGAATATCCAAGGTGGAAGCTCCGGGAGAGGTATGGGCTGAAGGTACACATTTGGGTGACAGAACCCCAAGGGAGGAAGCTCTGAGTGGAGAGGCAGGCAGGGGAGGAGGAGCAGCTGCAGATGGCAAGAGGCGCAGAAGCAGAGGACGCTGTCCCCAGAGCACAACACGACACAGGCCTCGGGCAGGAAGTGTGCCTCTGAGCAGCGCCGCAAAGGGCGAAGGAACCCTGGGTGTGCCGGGCAGGCCCTGGATGGGAGCGCGTGGCGGAGGGAGGAGAGGAGTGGAGGTGAAGTCAGGACTGGAGATAGGACTTCAGAGGACCGGCGGTGACAGGAGTGATGCCAGGCGGCGGCCCAGAGGTGGGGCCTAGCGTGCTCCTGAAAGGCTGCCGACGGGCAAGGCGCAGAGGAGTGGGAGAGGCTGAGCAGCAGGGGCTGGAATGATGCTGTTTCGCTTGCACTTGAATCCCCAGAACAGCCCGACAAAACAGGTACAAAATTATCCCTTCCTCGCACAGAAGAGGCAGCCGAGGTCAGAGAGGACCAGACTCGCAGCTGGTAAGACCTGAAGCCGGGGGGCTGAGGCTGGAGTGAGTACAGGACCACACCGGCTCTGGAGGGGTGCAGGCAGCCGGGCCTGGGCTCCGCGGAACGGCGGGCAGAGTGACTGGGTGGGCCAGACGCCGTGCCTGTGCTTATGCCCCTCGTGAAGAGGAAAGGCTTTTCCATCCAGGTGGTCAGCCAATTCTAGCCGCATCAGTGGAGCCCTGGGGGGGGTTCCTGTCCAGTAATCGGCGGGGACCAGAACGCCCCTGGGTGTGGAGAGGGTGCTCGTAGCTTCCATCATGGAGCCAGGAAGCTCTGAGGAGGAGAGCTCGCCGCTCAGTGGCTCCTCCCTTCTCAAGCAGCAGTGCTGGCTTTGACCAGCTTTCCTCATGCCTCATCTTTTTCCAGGATCCGTGTAATGCGAGTCTGTGTGTCACTGGAAAGGCGTTTCCCTGCAGCGAGAGATCCTCTGCCAGCACCGCATCCTGGCCGAGAGCCACGGCCGGCGCGTGTCATTCATCCCGCCGGCGGGTGGCGGGGAGGCCGCCGCAGCACTCGGCCCGGCCACCGGGAGCAGCAGCAAATTCACAGAACCGGCCCGTCAGCGGCAGGAACGGACACCGCATGTCACGCAGGCACACGGGTCACACTCCAGCCATAAAGCGCGTGGTGCGCCCGTTCTAGTTTGAAAACAATGTGTGTGAATGGCTGTCTTTTTATTAGAGCCTTGATTCAGAGCACACTCTACTAATTGCTGTGAGTGATTACGTTTATGGACCCGTGTTTAATTTTGGATAGATTTTGCTCTAAAATATCAGTGACTTAACTCTTTGTAATCACTCCTGAATGAAGGAATCGCTGAAACAGTATGATCTTGATATGCTTGCCTAACAGAATTTGGCCAAGCCAACATATTTGTATTCCACATGGTGCTCTGAACCAGGCTGGGTTTAAATAAAAAGGCAAATCACAGAAAAAGCACTGCAAATGGCCTTTAAAAACGTGCAGCTCTCTCATCTAACAGTAAAGGAAGGGAAACGCACCAATGCAGTCTCAGTTTCACCTTCCCCGTGCAGGCGCTGAGAAGAGTGACAACACCCAGTGCTGGGGTAGGCACAGGGTGCGCCTCCTCACAGGCAGGCGGGCAGTGGCTTCACACAGCCAGTCATGTGGTGCCACTGAAGAAAATGCAAGACACACACCCCCGTCTTCATCATCGTACTGCTGTGAATTTGCCTGGCAGAAACAGAAACATCAGTCTGAGGATATTTATTGCAATCCTTAAATATGATCAGGACAAAACTAGAAACACTGCAGTGTGCACCCATGGGGACGGCGGAACAGAGTGTGGGCCTTGTGCCATGGAGCATGCCCCTATTTCAAATGAGCTGGATCCGTGTCCTGGGAGGGGTATTTAAGACGTGTTGGTTAACACGCAGGTTCTGGAGTGATGTGGCTCCTTTTGTTTCGACAGTGAGCAGAAAATGGCTTTATATGGACTTTATGTTTAACAAGCATAAGGTATGGCTACCAGAATTACTGGAGGATGATGAGGAGGAGGTAATGAACATTTTCTGTATATACCCTGTGCTGTATTGTTTGACCTGATAGAATGAATATATATATCTACACACACACACATATTCTGTGGAAAATTTAAAGAGCCAATAAAGTAAAAAAGAAAAAAATGTTTTTAGGGAGACTAAAAAATTCCATTCTGTTCAATGCATTAGTGACAGAAACGCTAAGGTTGTCCTTTTTCTTCTCTATACTGGTTCCATCCATCCTGCCTGGAACTGACCAAAATCATGAATTCAAGAAAACAGAGTAAGATAAAAACTTGACTCCCCCAAATCCCTACCTAATAATTAGCAGAGTTTTCTGTATCGTAGTTATGTTTTAGGGAATGGATAGGACATTCAGAATTTATGTGTAATACATTACTATTTTCTCCTTTAAAATAATGAGCAGTAGGCTTCCAATCAGGGCTCCACTTAGAAATCTGATTTACAGTGACAGTGTCTGACATGAGGCAGGGAAGCCTAAACAGGACGTTCTCCCCTGTCCAACAGACTCTTCCAACAGATGCCTCCTTGACATTTAGAAAACTCTACTTTGTTTCCCCCAAATACTCAGTTTAGTGAGGAAGCTGTGTTTTCTCATCCTTTCCAAAAAGAGGTAGCAGGTAAAGAAATTGGTCCAACGGCTTATTAAGTAATTTTGGCTCCAAATATTTTTATAGCTACAAAAAACGAAACAAAACAAACAAACAAAAAACCAGAATGCAGAATTAAATTCTTCACAAGAAAGGTTCTTGCTGAGGGAGGCCCATCTGAGGGGCTGTGTTCTAAAGCTGTCTGAGTGGTAGAGAGGCAGCCAGGGTTTCCTCAGCCCAGACAAAGGTGCGCCGTCAACAGTCCACCTTTTCAAACCAGAAAGAGACCAAGGCTGTTTGGGTTGCCAGAGAAACTCACAAAACTTGTATTGAACTGTTCTGGAGAATTGCTTAATTCCAAGGAACTGAAAAGAACACTGTTTGATCCTAAAGTTGTATTTAGGTGACAGCCTGATCTAAGCAATGCATCATAATTCAAAGGTTGCCATCATTATCATCTGTATGTGCAGAGCAGCTCACTTCTCAAAAGGCAGCCGCCAACAAGCAGAGGAAATGTCCAAACCCAAACACACCAGAATGTCTGTCAATTACACATCAATAGCAGCAGATTTTTGTTAGAAAAGTAAAGTTTTCTATGACTAAATTTGTGACCATATCTTATTAAGGTTAAAAAAACAGGATGTGGCCGGGCACAGTGTCTCATGCCTGTAGTCCCAGCACTTTGGGAGGTCGAGGAAGGTGGACTGTTTGAGTCCAGGAGTTCAAGACCAGTCTAGGCAACATGGCAAAACCTGGTCTCCACCAGAAATACAAAATAATTAGCAAGGCATGGTGGCACATGCCTGTAGTCCCAGCCACTCGGGAGGCTGAGGTGAAAGAATCATCTGAACCTGGGAGGTCGAGGTGCAGTGAGCCGTGACTGTGCCACTGCACTCTAGCCTAGGTGACAGAGTGAGACCCTGCCGCAAAAAAAAAAAAAAAAAAA